ATACAGTTTACAAGAGAGGTCGAAGAAAATGGTAAACTACCTTTTCTAGACTGCCTAGTAAGCCATGATCACAACGGACAGCAGTTTACAGGAAACCGACACATACCGACATATTATATACATGCATACATACATACATGAATTTATTTATACAAGATGAATGATAAAAGCTAAACGCTTATGTGGTCGTTTGTTTAGTTATCTAAACAAATTAATGAGAAAGTTAATAATTAGCTTAAGGCTCTTAACAACTAATAAAATCTCATGTAAATAAAGTTTTAATATCTTAAAATCCTAAAAATATCTAAAATCCTTATTGCTAAAATCAACTGTAGAAGCTGGTTCTACTTTACAAGAAAACTCTGAGAAATCTTTAATTTTATTTAATCTAGAGCTGATAGTTCTACGTGGCTCAGAAGCAATATCAGAGTTTTTCGATGCGATTGCAATTCAGAGGACTGCCCCTCTGTAACTATTAGATTGCTCTAAATAACGAGATGTAAATCTAGGTGCAACAATATTATCTGTCCCCCTAAATGCATAACGCGACACCCTACACTAGTAAATAGTTGTTTCGGTAATACGCCATTATAAGCATTATTATTTAACTTAAAGAGTTTGTCATTGAAGATGTATGCCAAAGTCTTTTATTTGGCTATCTTTAGGGATTCTTAATCCGGCTTCGATCGGCGTTTCCTCTAAATCATAAATAATCCTTCCTGCGACTGTGTAGATTCTCCAGCGTCCCGAATAGCTCTGAATGACTGCTGTTTGTCCAAGTGACCAGACTGTAAGTGACAGATGCCAGAATAACACTTACAGAAAAATTTTCCATTACACTCGTTGGAAAAAAAAAAAACTTGATTTCCTCAGCAAGTTGAGCTTGCTTGCGAAGGTCTTTTTCACTTCTGACAAGTGCGGTGACCATGTCAGTTTTTTGTCGACTGTTACTCCTAGTAAGCGCGATTTTTCAATCCATGTTATCAAGGAGCCCCCATTAGAAACAGGCGCAATAGGTCCGATAGAATTAGACCTAGCCATGAATATAGCCTCGTATTTTTTAGGGTTTGGTGTGCCTGTTTATGAGACACCACTCGTACAGCTCTCTTAACGCTCTGTTCAATATTGAAACCGCTACATACCCATTGTTACCAACACAGTACACTTTGGTATCGTCAGCGAACACGTATCTTCGAGGCCACAGAGGTTGGAAAATTGCTGGAAAATAAAGCAAATAATGTCTGTCCTAAGACTGAGCCCTGTGGGACTCCAACTTGAACTGACTGGGTCCCAGATTCGGCGCCGTTGACCGTAACTTTCTAATCAGGAGAGAGTGCTGAACACAATCAAAGGCTTTCTTGAAGTCTAGTGGCTTTTCCCTTATCGAGCTCTTTTCTCCATAGCTCAGTGTTCGTAGTAACTCAGCAGAATGCCCACTGTCTGTCCCAGGCAAAATCGTTAGGAGTGAAAACATGATCAACTGATGTGTCATTCACAAGTTCTTCAAGTATCTTGCTTGGCATGCTCTGAGGTGAGACTGGTCTGTAGTTGGCGATATCTGTCTCATCGTCCTTTTTGTGTATTGGCGTAATCCTTGCTACTTTCCATTGCGAAAACACAGCTTCAAGATCAATACTGTGATGGTATTAGCACTCTTAATAACTTGAGATGAATATTGTCCAGTACAGCAGACTTTTTCACTTGCGATGGGTTAATCTTCCTAGATACCGCTTCTCTGTTTAAGACAACCTGGGACAATCGTGGTACCTCTTTGTTCTCCAAAGTTATAGGTTGCAGGTGCGTTGATGTTGGCAGTAGGTTATTTAGCTTGCTCTCTACATTAGAGGATAAATTGATCGAGTTCGCTTGTTCTTTATCTGTTAAAGCCAGAGTTTCATCCTCTTCTTTTATAGGTCCAATGTTTTTTTCTGGTTTTTGGATTTGTTGCTTTAGTTATCAAATTCCAATAGGCGTTGGTGTTCTTAACCTCACTGAACAAGTCAGAAAAGTAAGATGCTTTTGCTTGACGCATAGATCGAGTAACGTCATTCCACAGTCTTTTGTACTCCAACCACTTACTAGGACACTTAGAGGCTACGGGTAATTTGAAAAGCTTGAATCTTCTGTTCATCTTCTTGGCGTATTTCATTTGTTATCCACGGTGGTACCTGGCTTTTGATCTTCACTTCCTTCCAAGGAGCGCGTTTATCGCAGATATCATTAAACAGAGGCTACCAGGCCCACAGAACATCATCCATATCCTCAAAACATTCGGTGGCATGAAATGGCGCGTTAACGAGGTCAGATTTGAAGCTCTTTACGTCAAAGTTCTTATAATTCCGTATTTTGATGACTCGTGGAGGTGGCCTTTTGTGTCTTAGACGTCATCAAATTTGATCATGGTCAGAAATACCACGTGGTAATACTCCCGTGGAGCTTACCAAATTCCTACGGGTTGTGACAATGAGATCGATCAGCGTAGATGAATCAATTGTAGTTCTCGTCGGCTTAGTAATGATGTTTTCCATATTGAGATTATCAAAAATGGTTTGCAGCTTTGTACTATATTCTGTATCCCTGGAGTCATTAAATTACTAGATTACTGGACGAGTCATCCTATAACCCGACATCACACAAAACCACAACTATTAGGACTCTTACGCGACGAGCGTAAGTAGTATGCGACACGACAGACAGCTTATCCGACGAGAAAAAGTACCTTGACCGTATTTTTTCAAAGAACAACTACAACGAAGACTTCATCCAACGTAACACTCACCTAACTACTTCTACTACAGAACCTAACAACAACGTAACTCGTACGACTACGGCAACTATACCATACATCTCGCGCATCCGACAACCATTCAATATCTGCGTCGCTCACAAACCTATTACCACACTACGTCAGTTACTGACTAACGTCAAAGACAAAGACCAACCGAAGAACAGACAGGGAGCAGTGTATAAGATCAATTGTTCCGACTGCCACACCTCCTACATCGGTGAGACTGGCAGAGACTTCACAACTAGACTGACTGCGCACAAACGAGTGACGAGGAAAGGCGATGTCAACAATCACATTGCTGAAAATCACCGACTCACGAACCACACTATTGACTGGACAATGCACGCAATTTCTGACCTACAGCAACATTTACTTTCAAGGACTGACCCTGGAAAGCCGGTTTACTAACTTGGAACAGACTCCCCCCAAAAGGTGTCAACCACTAACGGCATCATACAAACGACTCATTCATGACATTAACATTACAAACGAACCGAACAGTGCAATGATAGCCGTGATAACCCCTTTACCGGCGTTTTAATCTCAATATCTCAATAGAAGTTCTCCTTACTGGCTGCCATTCAATCACTATGGTGTTATTTTGGGGAATTTTGTATTGGATCTTGCTATAAATAATTCCCTTATTGATATTTCTCGATATTCTCAACACTCGACTGCTTGATATTGTGTTGATGCTGTGAGAAGAAATTCTGCCTTGATGCGACTTGAAGGCGGCAGTAACCTGTTTACATAATGGATCAGAAATTCAACGACTTTATTCTGGCAGCATTTCAACCCGCAAAGGTGATCCGACCGATAGGCGAAATCCAATAAACATGACAAAACAAAGTGTGTCTGCGCATTTTAAAACAAAATTATTGGCTTTGTTTTTTATGGATTTTAAAGTGAGAGGGAAACGAATAAAAAACCTTACCTCAGTGTCGCGGATTTTTCCTTCTCAGACTGATAGCTAAGTAGCTTAATGATCAGTCGCCAACTATTTTGAAGATTCCGACCATGTGACGGTTTGAGCAAAAATTTATGACGAATTTTCCAAGTTCGGTATTTGCTATTTTTGCCACTCCGTGACTTTGAGAGAGAAATTTAAGACTTTTCCATCGTTCATTTTGATCAATTTGCAGTTTCATCAGATTTTAGAACAGTGCACAGACAATAAAGTGTTAAAGTACGTATGTTTCCTTGCCATACCGTGACTGATCTCAAATTTTAATCCTTCTTTATGCAGGGTTTCACTGACAATTCGTAAGAGATTACAAATAGCGTTTTCAGTCCGTATCTATCCTAGTTTGGGACACATATGTTTTTTTCTTTTGTTATGTTTTGTTTTGGTTAGTTTTTTTGTATCATCAAGATATACGAAATAAAGTAGTCGTGAAGTTGTTTACCAATTTGTGATAAAATCAGGTTCCCAACCTACACCTCAATACCTTACAGCCTTAAATGCTTGTCAATCGTGCGTAAGAAACTTCACTGGCTAGTATGGAAATGGATAACCTCGGGTATAGTAGGTTTGCGACCTATTGGGTTACCATTGCGATACTATTGCATAGCTATTGACGTAAATGCATAAATAATGAACAGCAGTCTTTATTTCTCCACACGTTAAAACTCACATATCCTAAGTTACATATTTTGATATAAGCTTAAATTGCTTTATTGATAGCTCTAAGAAGATAACGCTTTAAAAATCATCAGAAAACGCAGAAACTTTTAAAATAAGTATAAGCATTAAATTGTATGAGCTCCAGCTAGTAGCTGGAACGTTTCATTGGTATAAATCTCTCTGAATTAATTTCGATGTGATAAAAATATTCTTTTCTAAAATCGCATTTGATCAACTATATATGGTTGAGTCTATGATTTCGTCATTTCTTCTAATCTGTATGTTATCTGTATATTCTAAGCATTTTAAAATCTAGAATTAAAAGGCGTTGAAAAAAAAAATGCACGTTTTATTTCTTGTCATGCAAATTACTTCTTAACTTTTCAAAACAGTATCGATTGGGCCGGATAAATTTCTTTGTCATATATTAGAAAACTGAATTCACAGATATTTTAGTTTAGTTTTGACAGCAAGCGAACTATCTTTTATTTTTTAGTTATAGCGTTTTCAAATCAACACAAAATAGTACGTAAAAAAGGATCAACATCACTATGCATACAAAGGCCACTCTATCATTAATTTGCCAATCACAATTGTAATAAAAGCGAATTTTACCTTTCAGAAGACTTAAAAGTCACTATTTATATGAACACTTTATCGTCAGAAAGTTTTAAAAAGAATCCACTGGTCTAATTTTCATTTCAGTTGATGTGGGGGCGCTGCCCTCGGGACTGGTTTGATCCAATTGATCCCAGTGGATATTGGCCCAGGTTTCCTTTCGACAATGCGGATAAATTCCGTTGAGATTCGACGAAACATCACAATCACTACTGCTGCCATACCACCAGCCTCCACCTCTTTTTAGAGTACAATTAGCAGGATCTCTATCCCAGGTACCAAACATGAAATCTTTGTGAGGTTTGAGGGAATCAAAAGAAACAGTTGCATCTGCTTAAAAAAAAAAAAAGCAAAAAAAAAAAAAAAAAAAAAGGAAATTCCGTAATATTAGGATCAATATGACACATTTGACACCTCAAACTCGATAGCTACTATAATCGGGCAAAATTATAAATACTAAAATTTTATGATTTTGCTAAAGCCGCGTTTCATGACTTTTCTATCTCAAGCAACTTCCAGAGCAAACTGTCCACGGAGGAGCGTGAACTCGACCAGGTACGACCAGAATTAACAGCAAAACACACTCAAGCGGGTATACGTTAGAAAAAACCATTATTTGCAGGTTACGTGAAGTTGGGAGAAGGAATTGAATTTAAATCAGTTTTCCTTAGGATTCAAGTTGTCGCTAATTTGTATTTTCAGTTTGCTAAATTTGAAGCGGACGAACATCAAATTAAGCAGCCTCTCTGAAGAAACCGTTTTTAAATGGTTTTTAGAAAAACAGCTGTTAAGCTTTGGTGTGAATGGGGCAGTAGACGTCGGTAGTGAAGTAACACATAAGAATCGAACGATGAATGTTTAAAATGACGGTTTACTTACTTGTCATATTGCCAATGTACAGTCGGTAGTTAGCCGTCCCGTTCCCAATCCCAAACCATTCATACTCAGCGTGAACAGTTTGGCGCGCAGTTACCCCCAGATCTACTCGAAGCATGTTATTTGTCTTGTTTTGTGTCAGACGGTTTATATTGTCAAGTCCGAGCCAAAATTCACCGACCAAGTTACCGAAGCCATGCTTGTAGTCATTCCAGGTGCGATTAAAATCAACGGAGCCATCCATTCTCTTCTGGAAGACTGTCCATCCCCCACCGGAAGTAGTGTGGTCACAATAGACATTAAAGGCACCTGAGCCATCTGGATCGATTGTGTAAACACCGCTAATCCTTTGACCGGAATGGTAGAGCTCAACACAGTTCTTAGCTGTTGATAAATACAAGGTAATAACAGTTGATATTCGCTTGAAAAATAACGATAAAAATTGAAATGAATAAATGCTAATAAAGGTAATAAAACACATGAACGGAGAGAAATCGTGCTTACGTCTCGCCAGTGTTTTGTTCTCCGTGAGAATTTTAATGTCAAATCGAACTTGGGTGAGTTCCTTCATTATTTCTTCCAAACATGCGGCAGTGTTCTCCTGGCAATCTATTAGAAATGCCCGCGTTGATGGTAGAATTTGATGAGTCACATAAAGTGCCAGAAAAAGCAGAGCAGAACCTGAAGGAAAGAAACTTTATTACATGGTGTGAATTCACTGCCTAGGGCTGATCCAGGACTAGTAAGGGGGTCGGAGTAACATATGCTGAAGAAATAAAGGTCCTGGAGGGGTGAATAGATAGCATGCTCTACCAGAAATTTAAAATTTAGGTCACCTGAAAGGTTATTTTTAGCGTTTTAAGGGATAACTGTCAAAAACTGCACTTTCTTGAAAGTATTTCATGGATGATAATAGACGAAGGCAAAAGATGATAGAAAGATTGAGATAAAGATGGTTTACGGTGAATGACGGTAGATGAAGGTAGAATAAGGTAAGTGAACGTAAATTATGGTAGGTAAGAGTAGATGATGGTAGATAAAGGCAAATAAATGCAAAGTATCGTACCTTCAGGGAAATGAAATCAGATGAAAGTGCTTGAAGGTTAATTGCGATGATGGTCAAAACACAGTGACATCAATCATCAATTAATGCGATCGATTGGTAGATATACCGATCAGTTTTTGACGGCGGATATTTCCATCTCGAACATAAAGATATAACAAGTACTCGTCTTAGGTAACATTATAACAGAGCTAGTAAACCCGTATAATCAAATTCAAAAGCGCAAGCATGCGTCATGATCCTATTTTGCACGTTTCTAGCGTCAGCCACCAAATACCTCGAGATTGAAAATTTCCCTCCGTAACTTATTGCAAAGTTCCTGTCCAGCTTGGCTGCGAATTTTTAAATTTCCGAGATGCATTTTCCCTTACCATATTGATTAAGAAATACCTTTGGGAACCCTGAATGATAAACAAATCTATGGAAGCTAGTGTAAAATTCAAGGAAGTGCATCATCATACCATCCGCCAAGAATTACGACTTAAGAAGCTGATATGTATATCCTTCAAAAGCATGGCCCAACGATTTTTTGGGGAAATTTCCGATGCGGTATAATCAAAGTTTCAGCTGAACTAAACAGGCTAAATGGGCAAGAATCCGCCTTGAATTAAATCGATTAAAACATTTAAAAAGCAGTTTGATTTATTTCACAAATCGCTAACCTTTTTGTTATTTTTAACTATGACAGCATTCGCTCTGAATTCGAAGTCGCAGCATCTTTTAATTCATCCCTACTTACTGAATCAACCCTAATGGGATGTGAGAACGAGACGTGATGTTTGGTTAAGTAGTTACTGGCAGCTGACTTTTACTTTCAAAACTTCAGTTGATAATGACTATGACTGTAACGAAAATGCCAAAAAACGAGAAACCGAAATTATACCACTGCTAGCCTGTTCTAAGCCATTTCACCGGTTTCAGTTTCTGCGGGTCAAAGGACGAAGTTGACCTAATATACATCTTCCTCGTCGAGAGACTTACATTTAAACCGAACATAAGTCCATATCATCACACAAAACTGGATATCATCAGCATCAAACATTCGAAATAATATTTCGTATGGCCAGACCAGCTTTCTCCTGATTTTGATCGGATTCAAATTTGAAACTGAATTGACATTACTGTATAGATGTTGTTGAAGTAGCGCAATTTCTCCTGTTTCGGAAACATGATATTTTCACAGCGCGGTGACTGAACTACAGTATCTTTATCTTCTATATCGTCCATATCGTCGGGAGTGGTATTTTAAAAAAAAATGATAGACAAAGGCCTTGGTTTGCAGCGTGTTACGCGATGAACGAGATTTTCACTCTGAGAAGGGGCAACTGGGCTAATTGTTTCTACTGTAGTCAATTCTGCGCAGAGACTAATTTTTTTTGAAAATTAGATCAAAGGGAATACTAATTTGCATTGCCAATGGTAACCAGAGACCTACCATTTAAGGCGCTTAACGCTCGCTTTTTCAGCGAAATGGTGGAAAATAATTCCCACATCAAACCTCAACAAACCACTCCTACACAAAAAAGCATGCCTTGAAAACTACTGAAATATCCTTTTTTTTATCTTAGACAAGAACTGATTATATTTGTTTATCTACTTTGTCATTAACTCGACTTTGACTTGCCATCAGGGCAGTAGCGAATTTAGAACTGAAATCTTTCCAATTAAAGGATTACAATAGCCGAAGGAGTTTGGAAATCAAATTGTACAGTTATAGGTTACCAAGAACGTAAAAGTTCGACTGTACTACATAAACTGACTTTTCTTTTTTGTAGAGCAGCATCGAAAAAAAATCCGCAATGTTTGAAGGCGACTTCTTTCGTTTAATTGTTTATATTTTAGTCCTTTATTAGGATAGGTAAGAATTGGATCTAAGCACCATTAAATAAGTTTCTAGCTTGATGTTTCATACCTATTCCTTGTTGAATGCCTCTCATGGTAATTCTCAAGGTGAAAAATGCACCACGATGTCAAAAGGTAATATTTGAAGAGAAATTAACAAAGTCTACCGAAGATGTGGTGGTAAGGTTCCATGAAGACTAACTGAGGTCTCTTTCTACTAGTGAGTTTTTTATTACCTGAGTGCATGTGCAGATGCTTTATGCTCAAAAATCGTGGGCGAGTCAATTACTTCTCTAATCGCTAGAGACATGTCTGATGGGATTAATTCTATCGAGAATTTTCGTCGAGAACTTCTGATCTTCCGATGAAAACGCCTACTGGTTGAGGTAGCCTTTGAAAAGTCATGCACAGAAAGGGTTCAAGCGTGCAAGTCGTAAAAAAAATAAAATAAAAAAATTAAAAAATAATAAATTAATTAATAAAAAATAAAAAAAATAACTGAAAAAGTTTTACCGGCCTGTCTAAGGTGTCTCGTTTGGAAATTTTGAAGATCTTAACCAGTTCTCCTTGTCTTGTCTCGTGGTCAATGCGGTTACAGCATCTATGTAATCTATGTAAAGTTTGAGACCGAGATTATCATCGTAGCGGTTTTACTTCTCACAAAGGGGTTAATTTAACTGAAGAACGTGACTAAGGGTTGAATTAAACTTTTTTTTAAGAGGAAAACATTTCTTTCATGGAAACTTGTCTACTGTTTCGTAAAATAACTAAGATTACTTCGTAATTGATATAAAATATAGATAACCATCAATTGCTTCAAACTATGGCACTCGAAGGTTTCCGTAGGGTCAACTAAACTGGACTCTAGCCTTTCTGATTGAAGTACGTGTAGCAAGGATTAGTTCAAGAAATATAAACACGGGAAAGAAATGTTCAGATTTTCACCCTGAGAGGGGTCAAATTGGATTAATGTTTCTTCTGATGTCAATTTCACGTAAAATCTCGTTTTTTACGAAATTTAGATCAACGGTATTACTAATTTGCATTGCCAATGGATAACCAAAGACCTTCCATTCAAGGCGCCTAACGCTCACTTTTTCAGCGAAAGGTGGAAAATAATTCTCATATCTAACCTCAACAGACCACTCCCAAACAAAAATTCATCATTTATAAAAGCAGTATTTGTATGAGAGAAATGGATTGAAAAGACTGAAATATCCTTTTTTAAAATCTTGGGCCAGAATTGATTATATTCGTTTATCTTTTTTTCTAGAAGAGCATCGAAAAAAATTCCAACGCGTTTGAAGACGACTTCGTTTCTATGCAACGCAATTGATAATATAAGCTAGGTTTTTCGAGAGTTCTTGTTGTATTGCAAGATTATTGTTGCAAATAAACCGCGTGGGCTAGTTGCTGGAAGAACTCAGAAAAAGTGCAAATATAATTTACTTTAAGTCACCAAAATCAGATAGTTTAAGTGAGTCATGAATCGGTTTCCGCAAGAAGAGCATCGAAAAAAATCCCAATGCGTTTGAAGACGACTTCGTTTCTATGCAACGCGATTGAAACAAAACAACGAAACAACAGTTTCAAATCTTGTCTTGCCTTGTGGCCGATGCGGTTACTACTGGTTTCCATACCGACGCCGAAAACAAAGATAACTGGCTCTGGTCCCAATAAGACCAAATCCCCTAACGGGTGGTTTCTCCTTTTTGCACGTAGGGTGAGTTGGCAAATAGCGAATAGTTTTAGAATTTCTTTACTTTCAACCTTTTTCTGGTACGTGCGACCATCGTTTGTCAGTCACCAACCCTAACAACAAATTGTTATGATTGTGTACGTGTTCTCCTCAAACGACGTACCCGACTGTAATTTTATCCGGCGTCATAAAAACACGACCACAGATTCGTTTACATCATTCAATTAACTCATACGACAATGAGATGAAATTGTCATTTAAATCGCTTTACAATATGAAAATTACTTAAACAGCGTGTCCTGGTCCACCATTAAGCAAATTATGTAAGCTATTTGATGATTTCTTTGCTTTTAGAAAGGTGTCCTTTGTTGATCTGTTTTTAAAAAAAACCTTATGCCTTTTCACTTGATTATAAATCAGCTTTGATAAAGTGAAAGCGGATATCTTGTGACGATATGTCATGGCTTATTCAGATTCTTATGGAGCAGCGTATAAAATGAGTTTGACTGCATTGATAGTCAGACGGGCAAGCAGTCACATCATCAATCACCACTCGCTCACCTAGTCACTCACTCACACAGTTCACCAATCAATCAATCAATCGATCAATCAATGAATGGATGGATCCAGAGATACGTTACACACATTAAATATCACATTTGTGACCTCAGGGAAATTGACTGGCGGATTTGTGTGCGTATTATCGGAAATACAATGATTACTTATTGATATATTCTTTCTGATTCGATACTGCTGCAAGCTACCGAGATGTACCCGTCTTATGTAACATTGTTGAACCAAAAAAATACTAGGTATATACATTATTCACAAATTTAGCTCCCATTTCTCCTTCAGAGCTGAGATCTACTTCAAAAGCTACCTTTAGTTTTAAGTGTATAATTATTTTTGTTTTATCATTTTATCAGACGCTTACATGTCGATGTCCTCCCTGTCCGGTAGTTTCCAAGTGTTCATTATTAGCTGATGATTAATCAAACACAGTCATCGGACTATGGAAAGCGAAAATAACTATATTTACTAGGCGGTGAAGTGGCTGAATTCTACTTCCGCTATAAAAAAGAAAAACAAATAAACCATCAAAAGTTGGATCAAGAAAAGCAAACAAACAAACAAAAAATCGTCTGTTTTCAAGCCTTGTGAAGTTAAACTGCTCATGACCAAAGACAAAATTTGTCGTATTTTATTGAAATCCATTATTCAGTGACATTAAAGAACTATGGAAGTTTCAGCTGACCGTTGAAAGGGTCGTTTGGATTGTGGCCAAACGCGTGAAAAGATTTACCAAGACTATTTGAATAATTTTTTTAAAATTTTTTTATATGTTTTTATTTATTTTATTATTATTTTTTATCGAAATAGTTTCCAGGGGAATCAGAGTATTTGCTAATCCAGGCGAAAATTTTTGCAGGGGATACTGTTTAACGGAATAAAAAGAGGAACTGCCCGTTTTCCCAGCACTCATAAAGGTGGTAAGCTACTTAAGTTCTTAACCAAAGGTATTTATTTGATAAATATTTCGTTGAATTAGAAACATCGCGAAAGTAGGGAAAAATAGTTCTACTCGGTGAATAACTTGGAATTATGGTCAAATAAATGGGGTAGAGCTTTGAACATTCGTTTCCTTACCTAGAAAATCGATTCAACTTTTGGAAACCCTCAAATCACTACGGTTTATACTTTATACTCTAAGGATGCTTGAAATAACTACTTATTGAAAATTCTGCAAAAAAAATCTGACCGCAAGGCATTTATACCATTTAAGTCCGCACTTGGACCGAGAGGGTCGCCGTGGCGTATTGTGTAATGATTACTGCAATGCGATTTGGACTGAGGTATTCAGTATAATACTATTAAGAAGAAAAAATTGTTGACATGTGTCTCTCTTTAACTTTTTTGGCGACACACACGAAAAAATCTGCCATTATATTCTAATAAATTTGTTATGAAGTGTTTAGCTAGTGGACGTATTAGTTCGTCTTTTAGTTAATCAGTTTAGTATAATTTAATCTTTGGTTTATACTTAGAATGCATTTTATGTTAGAGTTGGAATTCCGACGTTATTTGATTTAATCTGACGGGATGAGTTTCCGACTTGTGACAGCCTGGTCTAACTTCTTTAGGTGGACGTGCTTAGTTTGTGTAATGACCTTGCTTTAGACGCACACGAAACTTCACGTTTTGGCTAACGCAGTCAGAGGTTAATTTTGTTGAACGGAAGCATTATGATGAAATACTTCGTTGTTCATTTCAAAAGTCTCGTGAATCTCTCAGGGTCAGCTGGCTGGCATGCCCACCCATATCTGTCTGTATTGACTATTCAAGCTTGTTCTTTATAGCTTAGGAGAGTAGAGAGAAGAGAGAGGAAAGCAGACTGGAAGAATGTTGGCAGTGTGCAAAATAGTAGAGTCAAAGTTTCTTGGTTGAAGAAGAAGTGAGAATCAAAGTGCGGGAGCCATAGAGATTAACAAAAGAGTCACACAGAATGAAATAAGCTTGAATGTTAATAGAATTGTGTACTGGATCCAGAGAACCGAATAATCAAAGTGCCTATATGACAAGAATTTTTTTCATGAGTAAATATGAATCTTATCATATGGACAAATCAATTTTGATAGAAGAAAATAGAAAAAATAAAATAAAACTCGGTTTTCTTCGGGCCCTAAAGTGCTCTTATGTTGTCTTAAAAGTTTTCCGTGGACCGGTAACGAATTAGTGAGTGATGACGTAGAAAACTGTGAAAACTCTCTTTTGACACCAACAAACCTCTCACATGTCTAGTAATTTTGTCAGCGTTGAAATACTCAACTGATTCAAGTTAATCTCAAATAAGGATTTTAATAGAGAAAAACTTCTTCAGTTTAAGTGCAGCCTTGCCATAAAACCCATTCCGTTAAAAGGAAATAATTGACATCAGTTTTGTAAATGATTATTTCGTATGCAGCAACTTTCAGAAAGCACTTCGATTCGCTACTAACTAATTCAATAAATATGTAAATATGGCTCGTAATATGGACTTTCGGAAACCTAGGTTAGGAGAATACACGGCCCTTTTGAAATTGTGTTTATGCCAGTATCCGCCAGAGGTTTCGCACTGTTCACGCAACAGGATATCGGTCAGGAAAGGGCTTGACCTTCATCACAAATGATACATTACTATTACCAAAATACGACAATTGGCAGGATTTTCATTCAATAAGGAAAGCGCAAATGCAGTTACATACAAAGACAAGGAGCATGAGTACATCTTAAGCGCATGACATAAACAACAACGAGAAGCGCACCATTCTTCGCTTGCGAAATGTAAGCTGAAAAGAACGTGGAACAATCGTGTACGCTGTGGGAACAGGCCCCTTAATCAGCTGAATTCTTTGGTCA